GGAAATAATGATCGGTGTACTTGTTTAAACTTGGTGTATATGCGACAGTGTACTGCTAGTGTACATGTTTTAACGTGTACAGGTAACTAGGCCGTAAAAGTAACCATGCAGAATAGGCGTGAGTTCAAAAATATAAAAGAAGCGTTCCATTAGTCGAAAATATAAATGGATATGCTCATGGGTGACCTAGAAACTGACTAAACCATCGACGAGATTGCTGTTCATTGACATATAGGTTACCTGACACGGTAGAGGATTAGGGCATATAAGAGGTCAATGGATTGGAGCTGCCGTACGTTTCTCGTTGAAGAACAAAGAAAAATTATTTTTGTTTAGGTTCTTGAGTTCTTAATGGTCATTGTTTACATCTTTGATTTGGTCCTACAACGAAAACCAGTAAGTAATGAAATATGAACTGCGATTATTGTAATATTCGAGGCTTATCCCTTTGGAGTATTGAATTATGAGAGCGAAGCTGCAGAGGTTACAACAAAGATAAATCGAGTTGTTCCTATTGGAACACGATTTGTCAAATATGAAGAAGAGGAACAGGAACCGGAACAGACGTTCGTAGAGGGTTCCATAGTTTAGATATTTCCTAATCAAATCTTAGCTCACCATCATTGCTTTAATCTTTGTCATCTATCATGCCAATTAATTGGGAACCATTGCTCAAGGCTATTCTCCGATGTATATAATGGTCTGTTGAAAGGAGAACCTTTAAACCCTATAATTCTTTCCTGATGAATTTTTCATGTCTAACTTCATTAAGTTAACGAGAAAAATAATAGTACATATATAATTTATTATGTCTCGGAGTGAGAAAAGAGAGACCAAAATCATCATTAACAACATTAAGGATAAAAAGCCCGGCCAGATTGAAGAACATGAACTATGGAAACAGTAAAATCATTTAATGAGAATTAGTTCTTGTCTGGCTGGGGCATGAGAATCGTAATCAGAGATGCTTATTGAATACTGAAGGAACTTATGTGATAAAACGAGAGCGAACATTACGTTTCAATAATTACAAGTTGAAATGTCCATTGAAAGGCCGCAAGACAGCTCCAATTTTGTCCATTTCCATCATTTTGACAAACATTTCAACAGTTTGAAGGCAAGTAACCTGAAATTCAAAGTCAGAACTGATGGAATGTGTTGAGCTGACTCACTGGTTCAAAAAGTCGGAACATGGCACCACCGTACATCTCCATTTTACTCATCAATTCTGACCAATTCATTTTCGTACGTGGGTAAGGGGCATAACCGACAAGCGCTCTTGCAATATACACCTAGAAAGAATAACTTTCTGCTTTTCCAGTCAAATCTCAATACCTCCTTCTGTTCCTTAGTTGGAGAACTTTTCAACCTAACCTCACAGGTAAATCCAAGATGAAGCAGACTAGAGAGATCATATTTCTCAGCATACTGAAATAAGCAATAATATAGGAAATTTCATAGAGTAGCAAAACCTCTTTTCTACTGACAAAATCAATTATAGCCAACTCTAAACGAGTTTCATTTTTAGGTCCACTGAATGTACTATCTTTAGATAAATGATATACTCTTAGTACATCAATAGTGATAGGTGGTATTGGACTGAGGTAAGGGAATCTTGCAGTATGTTGATGCAAGAAAGATGTTGAGTATGATCGACAAGTTTTGCATTGATGCACTCCCAACACGTTATATTGAGGGTTACTTGGAACGGTATGGTTAGCAGGCTCTGCCTCTGTTAGCTCCTCATGATCACTTTCTTCGCACGATTCATACTCTTCACTTTCAGAGGATCCTTCTTCCACGAAATAAGACAAACTTAAAGACTCGAGGAACGTCCTTAAAGCGTCTATTTTCTCCTTAAATGAGAAAAACAAGAATAAGGGAGAGAAAGATATCACAAACCCTCATCTCTGGAGTCATTACGGAGGAGCCTTCGGTATCACCCATGTTCTCTGTTGAAACAACTAAAATGAATATTGATAATAGGAATACAGAAAAGACATCAATATGCAAATATAAATACAAAACAACAAAAAAACATAAAAAACAACAACATTGTATACAATTGCGTCGCGAGCGTGTTGCGTCGCGATGATTGGAGCGC